AAAACCATTTTCAGCTCTTCGAACATCTCATATGCTCCGTGTCTCTCAAAACACTTTTGGAGCCCCGGTTCTAAGCTGTAAAGCATGCCGCATTGAACGAGGGAGTAATCATCGGCACGTGACTGCCAAGCGTTCATAACGTCTTGGTTCTCTGGGACAGGTGTGTTACCTAGCGGTGCTTCTAGGACATAATCTTTCTTGGCAGCTATGAGGATGATCCTCAGGTTCCGGACCCAGTCCGTATAGTTGCTGCGATCATCTTTCAGCTTGGTTTTCTCTAGGAACGCGTTGAAGTTGAGGACAACGTGGGCCATTTGATCTACAAGACATATTGTAAAGATTTTAGACTAAGTTCATGATAATTAAGTTCATCTAATCAAATTATTCAATGAACTCCCACTCAGATAGACATCCCTCCAGTCATCTAAGTGAAACATGATCCGAGTTAACTAGGCCGTGTCCGATCATCACGTGAGACGGACTAGCCAACATCGTTGAACATCTTCATGTTGATCGTATCTTCTATACGACTCATGCTCGACCTTTCGGTCTTCCGTGTTCCGAGGCCATGTCTGTACATGCTAGGCTCGTCAAGTCAACCTAAGTGTATTGTGTGTGTAAATCTGGCTTACACCCGTTGTATTCGAACGTTAGAATCTATCACACCCGATCATCACGTGGTGCTTCGAAACAACGAACCTTCGCAACGGTGCACAGTTAGGGGGAACACTTTCTTGAAATTATTACGAGGGATCATCTTATTTAAGCTACCGTTGTTCTAAGCAAATAAGATGTAAAACATGATAAATATCACATGCAATCAAATAGTGACATGATATGGCCAATATCATTTGCTCCTTTTGATCTCCATCTTTGGGGCTCCATGATCATCGTTGTCACCGGCATGACACCATGATCTCCATCATCGTGTCTTCTTGAAGTTGTCCCGTCATCTATTACTTCTACTACTATGGCTAATGCTTTAGCAATAAAGTAAAGTAATTACATGATGTTTATGTTGACACGCAGGTCATAAATAAATAAAGACAACTCCTATGGCTCCTGCCGGTTGTCATACTCATCGACATGCAAGTCGTGATTCCTATTACAAGAACATGATCATCTCATACATCACATATATCATTCATCACATCCTTTTGGCCATATCACATCACACGGCACATGCTGCAAAAACAAGTTAGACGTCCTCTAATTGTTGTTGCAAGTTTTTACGTGGCTGCTATAGGTTTCTAGCAAGAATGTTTCTTACCTACGCCAAAACCACAACATGAATTGCCAATTTCTATTTACCCTTCATAAGGACCCTGTTCATCGAATCCGATCCGACTAAAGTGGGAGAGACAGACACCCGCTAGCCACCTTATGCAACTAGTGCATGTTAGTCGGTGGAACCAGTCTCACGTAAGCGTACGTGTAAGGTCGGTCCGGGCCGCTTCATCCCACGATGCCGCCGAATCAAGATAAGACTAGTAACGACAAGCAAATTGACAATATCGATGCCCACAACTGCTTTGTGTTCTACTCGTGCATAGTAACTACGCATAGACCTAGCTCATGATGCCACTGTTGGGGAACGTAGCAGAATTTTAAAATTTTCTACGCATCACCAAGATCAATCTATGGAGTCATCTAGCAACGAGGGAGAGAGGAGTGCATCTACATACCCTTGTAGATCGCGCGCGGAAGCGTTCAAGAGAACGGGGTTGATGGAGTCGTACTCGACGTGATCCAAATCACCGATGACCAAGTGCCGAACGGACGGCACCTCCGCGTTCAACACACGTACGGTTGGGAAGACGTCTCCTCCAACTTGATCCAGCAAGGGGAAAGGAGAGGTTGATGAAGATCCAGCAGCACGACGGCGTGGTGGTGGAAGCAACGGTGATCTCGGCAGGGCTTCGCCAAGCGCAGGGAGACGGAGGAGTGTCACGGGAGGGAGAGGGAGAGGCCAGGGGCTTGGGTGCGGCTGCCCTTCCTCCCTCCCACTATATATAGGGTGCCTAGGGGGGTGCCGGCCCTAGGAGATCCAATCTCCTAGGGGGGCGGCGGCCAAGGGGGTGCCTTGCCCCCCATGGCAAGGATGGCGCCCCCCACCCCTAGGGTTTCCAACCCTAGGCGCAGGGGAAGGCCCAAGGGGGGCGCAGCAGCCCACTAGGGGCTGGTTCCCCTCCCACCTCAGCCCATGGGGCCCTCCGGGATAGGTGGCCCCACCCGGTGGACCCCCGGGACCCTTTCGGTAGTCCCGGTACAATACCGATTACCCCCGAAACTTTCCCGATGGCCGAAACTTGACTTCCTATATATAAATCTTCACCTCCGGACCATTCTGGAACTCCTCGTGACGTCCGGGATCTCATCCAGAACTCCGAACAACTTTCGGGTTACCGTATGCTAATATCTTTACAACCCTAGCGTCACCGAACCTTAAGTGTGTAGACCCTATGGGTTCGGGAGACATGCAGACATGACCGAGATGCCTCTCCGGTCAATAACCAACAGCGGGATCTGGATACCCATGTTGGCTCCCACATGCTCCACGATGATCTCATCGGATGAACCACAATGTCGAGGATTCAATCAATCCGTATACAATTCCCTTTGTCAATCGGTACGTTACTTGCCCGAGACTCGGTCGTCGGTATCCCAATACCTAGTTCAATCTCGTTACCGGCAAGTCACTTTACTCGTGCCGTAATGCGTGATCCCGTGATCAACCACTTGGTCACATTGAGCTCATTATGACGATGCATTACCGAGTGGGCCCAGAGATACCTCTCCGTCATACGGAGTGACAAATCCCAGTCTCGATTTGTTCCAACCCAACAGACACTTTCGGAGATACCTGTAATGTACCTTTATAGTCACCCAGTTACGTTGTGACGTTTGGCACACCCAAGGCACTCCTACGGTATCCGGGAGTTGCACATCTCATGTTCTAAGGAAATGATACTTGACATTCGGAAAAGCTACAGCAAACGAACTATACGATCTTTGAGCTAAGCTTAGAATGATGTGATCCCGTTATCAATGACATCCAATGTCCATAGTCAGGAAACCATGACTATCCTTTGATCAATGAGCTAGTCAACTAGAGGCTCACTAGGGACGTGTTGTGGTCTATGTATTCACACATGTATTACGATTTCCGGATAACATAATTATAGCATGAACAATAGACAATTATCACGAACAAAGAAATATAATAATAACCATTTTATTATTGCCTCTAGGGCATATTTGCAACAGCCAGGACGCCCATAACCAGCGCAGGCGAAGTGCTGAGGCGAAACGTGACAGGTCAAGGATCCCCAGGCCGCCCTTCTCTGTTGGAGTGCACACCTGCTTCCACGCCACTTTGCACTTCCCTCCCGTCAACGCCTCGTCCTGGGCCCATAAGAAACGACGCCTCGCCTTGTCAATCTCCTTGAGGATTTTCTTCGGCACCTTGAGCATGGTCATGGCGAAGGTTGGCAGCGCAGAGAGCACAGCCCGCACCAGGACGCGCCGACCCGCCAAGGACATCAGCTTGCCCTTCCAGCCCGCTAGGCGTGACTTGATTCTGTCGATGAGGAACTGAAAATGCACTAGACGCAGCCTCTTGGGGGATAGTGGCAGGCCTAGGTAAGTTGTGGGGAAATCTTGCTTACAATTTGATTGGAACCTTTTGTAGCTGTCGTGGGGATGATCAGAGGTAGCATTGTAGCGACGTAGAGCATACATGTTTTTTATCCTTATTAAGACATCAACCAGTTTGTTCATCTTAGTATTCACCATGTGCTGATATTTGCATTTCACTATTGTTCATTTTTGCACAGTGAAAAGGAATAGTGTTATGTGGGCATACGATGATGTAGTCAAGCTCCAGTGAGGCTTGCGTGCATCATTTTCCTTATTGAGAAGGAGGAGATATCCTATGTTGACTCACTAGATTGTTGGTAATTTGAGCATCTCTTGCCCATTCCTCATATTATTGCATGTGTTGCATTGTATATAAATAGTTTTATAGAAATGAGATTCTCTTTAGGGAACATAAACATTATGATTGATTTATTTCCTGTATATTACATTGTGCATGATATATTATATCCCTCTTTTGGACGTTTTGGTAAATGATATTTTGAACCATACGAACTTTACGATCTGTTATGACAGCTCAACATTTCTCAAACAATTGTATGTTACTCTTTTTAAGATGGATGGGCGCGGCAACGCGCGCCTATATGGTCTATTAATAAAAAGGTGGTGTGCATTGCTTGATGCAGAGACCGGGTCTTTTTTTTTAAGAAAAAAATAAGAAGATAGTAAATTAAAAAAAAAAGTATGCACAAAATAGAGCATGTTGATGTTCGCATACTTGGACTCTCGGAGGATATAAACACGCGCGCACGGGATAGAGACAACTTATTACGACCTTGAGCTCGAGAGATAAGGATGCAGATGTAGCAGAGTCTATCTCAATGAATTGTGTTGATTCATGTATATCATCCATGTCAGCTAAAAAAAATGTATACCATCCATCTGCCCGCAAAAAAGAAGTATATCATCCTTCAACTGTGGTTCATAAATACTAGGATAATAAGTCTACAAAATTTAAAACACGACCGAGTTGTAAGTTCTAAACAAGAGCTGTCACAAATGAATATACATAGTCCTAACCGTGCGTGCATTCACCGCGACAAGTATATTTATACGTGCATTTCGTCCTGAGGGTGACACACATACAGTACAGAGTTCTGTATTGTTCTACGCACCCTATCCGAGTTTGGCCACAATCCTGAGAGTTCCTCACCACTGCTCAGTGCTGACATATACAGTGGCATGCGACGTACACATGCTACAGACGCTGTTTCTAGTGTTGTGTCTATTCATTTTACCAAAAATAAATAAGGAAATACGCAAACAAAAAGATGAAAAGAAACAGAACTTGTTTTTCTCATGTACACGTCGATCAGTACGTATTCAGTAAGAGTACTACTCAGTTAGCAGCCAGGGCCTGCACTTCTCTCGCCATATCCGCGATCATCCGGCCGGGGCGGCGACCTCGAGTCGTGCGCCGGCGTCGACGAAGACGACTGCCCCGGTGTGTTCCCGCCGGCTGCAACAGCCCGCAGGTCCACGTCACCGCTCTGCAGTATGTGCGCATACCGGTGGAGGTCCGGGAACTCCTCCCGAGCAACGGCTGCCAGGGAGTTAATCTGCGGACGGAAGGCCACCACCACGGGTCGCTGCTGCTGCCGCATCGACGGCGATGCCCCGCCTCCGGGCGCCAGGAGCTGGCCGACGGCATGGCGGGGTGGCGCAGGCGCACCGCCGGCGCCAGGGAAGTTGAGCTTGGCCTTGGCGCCCTTGAAGCGGAGCGCGGCGGCGTCGTAGGCGCGTGCGGCGTCCTCGGCCGTGTCGAAGGTGCCCAGCCATACGCGCGCCGCCTTCACGGGGTCGCGGATCTCCGCCGCCCACTTGCCCCACGGCCGCTGCCGTACGCCACGGTACCGCGGACGCTGCTGCTGCTGCTCCGACGCCGTTGATGACGACGACGTCGCCGCCACGGCCAGAGGAGCGCTGTGTTGGCGGGTCACAGCTGTTTCACCCATCAGTACATGCATGCATGTTGACACACGATGTCAAAGATCAAATACTTGAAAAATGATTGTGTTAATTGAATATCATACTTTTTAACAAAAGGCATCCACTGCCCAGTTTCTTTTTATAAAGCTCAACCAGTAAATTTTTGTTGAGTATTCCCTCTGTAAAGAAATATAAAAACATTTAGATCACTAAAATAGTAATCTAAAATCTTTTATAGTATCATACTTGAGCTGATGGAGCATTAGTTAGTTTTTTTCTTTGCCATGTTGGAGGATGATTGTAACTTGAAAGATTGTCCTGCCACGTAGGCTGACACATGGACAATAATGCAGACGCAAATGGCTGTCAGGGATCTACAGTTGGCGAGTTCCAAAGTCTAAACTTCTCCAAAACAAAGCTCGACACGTGCCTCCTGAGCGTACGAAATCTCGTTTCCCTTCCTTTCGTTTTGCATTTTTTTTTCTGCTTCCCTGTTCGCCTTATCGATCTAGAGTTCTCTATACGGAATCACACACGGATCGCGTAGAATCATCTAGATCAGCACGCAAAGATTCCAAGGACATCAAAAGGAACCCCCCAAAAAAAAGCTGTGTGGAAGCTGCAGCATGCACAAATCGAGCAACGTATACAGCACCTTGCTGCCCGGGCGCGGTTGCACCGGCGGCGGCCGCCGGTCCCGGTCGAGTGGAGCTGATGACGTGGGTGAGCGCCGCCACCATGACGGCGAGCTCGTACTGCTGGTGCTGGTAGCTCGTCGTCGCAACGCCAACGCCAGCAGCCTCCTCCCCGACGACCTCCGGCTCTCCATGCCCATGGTGGTCACCTCGTTGTTGCGCCGGCGGCGGCGGCGGCGGCGGCGGCGGACGAGGTGATGGCGGCGGGCCTCTGCTGTCGCGACGGTGCCCCGGAGCCGGAGGAGGAGCGCTTCCGCTTCCGCTCGGATGATCCACGCTTGCTGCCCTGTCGGTTGTCACCGGCGTCCGGCGCCACCCGCGGACAGGACAAGGCCGATCGATGGATAATGCGGATGTGTCCTTCGCCTAGTAGCTGCTTCTGTTTGGCCTGGAGAGTAAAGACCAGGGGCCTATAGCGAGCTAGCTAGCGGAGATAAGGATGGGACAGACCCCCTCGACTCTCGAGTGCGTGGGACTGGGGCACTCCTTCCTTCCTGAACCTTCCCTTTATAACCAAGCCACCTGCTACTGGTTACGGTTTTGCTAAGTTTAAGTTCAACAAATGCTACATCAACGGAGAGTTACTTAGGGCATGTACAATGATTGATAAGACAATCTTATCTTGAGTTTTGTATGTAATTTAGAGATAATAAAAAAATAAGACTACAATGGGTTATATATTAGCCTTATCTTCAACAACTAGTCATTCCTTAAAACATGGTGAGACAAATTGTGCTAAGAGATCATCTCTTGTCTTATCTTAAATAAGAAAAGATAAGCCTTTTTTTATGAGTTCTCTCTTCTTCACCTCATCATTTAGCCTACATGACACTCCTAAGATAACGTCATTGTACTACATGCCCTTAAGAATTACGGGCTGATCTCTAGCTGGCAGTTTTTCATTGGACTAGGGGAGAAAGGGGCCCCACGTTCGGTGAAATTAGGAGGGCGGTGTGGAGAGATTTCATGATAAGTACTCCCTTCGTAAACTAATATAAGAGTGTTTAGATCACTATTTTATGATCTAACCGCTCTTATATTAATTTACGAAGGGAGTATCTAAACGTTTGTGTGTTTAGCATTTTTGGTTTAAGTTAGACTTAACTGATGTGAGCAATGCTACACGTACGGATGGCCTTTTACGGGACTAGTAAACGTGTACGTGCAACGCACGTCTCGATCAAAGCAGCCTCTCAGATTTATGTGAGTACTGAATTCTTAATTCATATTCTAGAAATTTGGGGAAAAAGAATATCTATAGTGCCCGCATCTCTAAAGGTCAATTTTAATACAAACCATCATTTATCTTTTGATGATGGCATTTGAAGTTCAAGAAGACCAAAATGATCTTATAGTAAAGATTTCAGGATATCTAATTTTTCTTATCTGAACTTGAAGGACTTATAATGAGTATAGGTATTGTCCAAGTGAACATGGAAGAGATGCAAAATTTTAATAAAGATAAAAAAAATAGTTGTCCTGGAAAAACTAAATCTCGATCCCTCTTGGGTTCGGGCTACATGTTATCTTCACAAGTTGAATTGTTGGGCTCGACTACAACGCCACTAGTGGAAACACAGCGAGCTAAAAGAGTTCGCTAGCCAGGACTATTTTGCTCCCATTTTGAGTTTGTCTCATCTCATGTAGTGCAACATTCTGAACAAAAATGAAGAAATGGAATTTAACATATTTGTATGACCTGCATGCAACAAGCTACCTTTTTTCTAAGCTAAGCTTAGTTCTGGAAGGATTAAACATGAATTAAACTTTTCATATGAACATCCTAACTGTGGAGAAAAGTCTAGTGTTCTAGAATGACAAACTGTGCAATAAGTTAAAAAGCCCTAAGTCATGTGCTACAACAATAATTGGTTAGCTAACCAGGAAAGAGAAAATAAAAACACGTGAAATTTAGGAAGACGAAAGGCAGACAAAATAAATTTCTAATGAGATGCATATACCCTCAGGAAAATAAATCGCACCAATATCATGCCGGACACATAAGTAACTTGCAGACTAAAAATGAAGGAAATGCATAATGTGATGCAACTATGAGTACATATTCCATTTGAAGCAACCTCATGTCAGTTAACTCACAAAAATTGAGGGGGAAAAAAGCATGCGTGCCGTATTTGGCTGCTGAACTTAAGCTCCTCCTCTATCCATTTTAGAGCCCCATTCTTAAAATAAAACAGAGTTATTGTTCATGCACAAAAATCTGATCATGACACCAGCCGAGGGGGTGTTTAAAAATTAATCGAGGAAGTGCCTTAGCATGATGTTTTGATTGGATAGAAAATTCTAAACACACAGACTGTTTACAGAGATTTTATGGGTCTTTTCCTAACTAAATTTCTCCCCTCCGTATTTTTGTGAGGGTGAGCCCCACACCTTATTTCTATCTGATCAAAACATGCCAGCTAAGCCACACCATTGATCCCGTAAAAATCCATCCATATGCGTGTAGCATTGCTCTAACTGATGCTATTCGTCAATCCTATGGCCTGCAGATTTTGATCGATCACACACAACTGTAGTTGCACGCCTATGCAACAAGGCACAACTATAGTTGCATGTCCGCTAGTCGAACACAACTACAGTTATATGTCCGCCGGTTCTACGCAATTTGCATGTCCAGTAACCACACGCAATTGTCTTGTGGTTATACTTATACATCAGTCGGTGCGCAACTATATTTACGTATTTTATTTATTTTTAGCGCCAATTGAAAAGTCCACAAATATTATATTCATGTATGAAAAAGTAAATAAAAAGTTGGGAAAAGGAAAATATTTAAAAACTAAAATAAAAGGATAAAAGTGACAATATCACTCGATTTAGACTTGATCGGGTTAATTGATATCCAGCCACACCATAGTTGGTGGAAAAGTTTTACCACAGTTTTTCTCATGCCAAATATTAGAAAGCACGGCAGAAAAGTTAAGTGTGAATGAACAAACAGAAGGCTGCAATGAAAGTGTAGCGTCTGACGGCACTGGTTTTGTCTGCGTGTAAACTGGTTGATTTTCTCATGTCGAAATCGATGAAAGAAGACACCTGATTCAAAATTTATTTTCTCCACCTCTTTTACGATAAATCATTAGGTGAGTCTGCTTAGGCAAAAATAATAGTCTTATGCGACTTAACCAAACCAATAAAAATAAATTCAAAGTGAAAGTAAAAGATTTGCCTTATTTATTACTCACTCTGTAAAGAAATATAAAAGCGTTTAGATCACTAAATTAATGGTCTAAGCACTCTAATATCGTTTTACAGAGGGAGTAATTAAGAAAGAGTTTATAGTTGCTTTTTTTACAGACAAAAACAATAATGAAATGACAATAAATAGTGCCAAAGTTTGGCAGTACAGTACATAGCTAGGGCCGTCATAATGAGTTACCCTTGTCGATGGGCGATGGCTATACTTCCGTTGTCGAATGCCTCACCGGTTGCCACCATTGACCACTTTTCTCTGTCTGTACTTATCGTCTCTAGGCAGCAGGACGCGCCGATGATTGTCGCCGTTGGTATTTTTCATGGGTTCTGCCTTTTCACACTCATCACTCATCGTGTCTAATTTGTAATCCAGTTTAGTCATGTGCTCGCACAAAAAACAGGACAAGAATGAATTTTCTTCTACATCGGGGAGACATCACTGTCTGATAAAGTAAAAAAAGGGTAATTACGCCGCCGGTTCTTCTTTGGCTAGGACTGACACGTGATATAATGATCCGTCTGAGTTTTGAAAGACATGGTTTATCTTACCATGGTCTTCGAGACTAGACTTATTTTTGGTCGTTAGCTTCTGTTGACACTGCAAGGTCTTAGAACGCGAATCAAGGCCCTATATAAATATATCAAAACTATTTTAGAGTACGATCTCTTTTTTATTGGATAGTACAGTCTCTAAAATGTCTTACATTTGTTTATGAAGGGACTACTAAAAATATAACCTAGCCAAGCCTAATATTATGAACTACACGTGCATATGTAGTCGGTTGGGGTGGATACACTGTACCTAGACGCTCCATAGCCCATGGTAGTCATTCACAGCACTTAATCATATGCATGGTCCTCCATGTATACCAGCATGGCAAGTATGGGATATGAATATTAAGTAGTATTATATACTTCCTTTGTTCCAAATTATAAAATGCTAGCTTTTTTCCGAATAGGATGTGTATAGACCATAGTTTTAAATAACCGGCTATAGCTTTATTATAGCCCGCTATAGCCTTTTTATTAGGGTGCCGCTAAATGGTCGCCTTCACAAATAGCCCGCTATAGCTGATTTAAAGGCCCGCCGCTATTTTCCATAGCCCGCTATTTAAAACATTGGTATAGACACGTTTTGATATGTTTGTTCACTCATTTCAGTCCATACGTAGTCCATATTAAAACATCCAAAACACCTTATAATTCGAAACGGAGGTACTGGTATATATAGTCCATTTCGTAGACAAAAGTAAGTGTCATGTTAATTTCTCCTTCTGTATGGTATATGCATATACTAGTATCAGCTTGCTAGCGTACCTTAATTGACTTTGACCTCTTGATTTTCTTCAAAATGATATTGCAATTTGCTCAACCAACGCTCAATGATGCACTTTAAACTTCTTGTATTTCCCTGCTAATATTTTTCTGATTGGAGCAGATATGAGATCTCACAGTCACAGAAGCCCCTGCATCAAAGCCAAACTCGGAAAGCAACCGCCTTCAGCAAAATACAGAAAGTACGGAACTCAGGAAACCACGAGGAAGTTGCATCACGTCTCCTCAGGTTCAAGTCATTGACTTGGAGTCCTCGGCGTTCACACAAGGTCAAGATAATCTAGTGGCCTTTTCCCCCTTCAGAGACAGCAAATAAAGCACCCACGCCCACTGTCCTTTCTAACATGTCGTTTTATAACTTGTCCAACGCAGTCGACATTGCAACAAAACGATGGCCACTGGTACGTGCAGCATGTTTCAAATTAAATTTGACATCACACTACTTGCATCAGTCTGCGTATTTGAAAAGGCGATGATGAAAAAAGAGGTATACACTCTCGAGAGGTTATCCTTCCGTCTGTTGCTTGCTTCAGCTGCCAAACTGAAGGCGCGAGCAACGGAATACAGTTAAAGATGACATGCTCAGCACCAATTTATTTAAGCTTACTTGCCATGACGTAAAATATGAAAGTAACCACTGGTCGCATAGACTACTAGCCCAAACACGGAGTGATGACGAATATGGCCTGTGCAACTGGAAGTGTTGTCTAATGTATCAACCGCCAGTGGGTGATTGATGCACACTCCACTCGTTGGCGCGGAATGCATCATGCATTGCATTTAGGGCTTCTTGTTAAACATAGTTCCCATTGACTTGTTAACAATCGAGATGGGACAGTTGTTGGAATCCGAATCCGATTCTCCTTCTAGAAGCAAAACTGACCAGGGCATCAAGAACCAAACAAGTCCCTAGCCAAAGGAATGAATAAGCAGTTGAGCATGTAAACATTGCGATGCACACAATAAGAATCCGGTTATGGAGCCCAATTCAACAACAAACTATGTAACTATGGTGTATTTCCCAGTGGTGGGTGAGATTAATCACAAGCCATTACGCCACCTGACAGTTGGGGCCTGGCAATATATCCAGTTGTAAAAGGAAACATCAGAATGATTCTCTAGGTAGTAAGCCTGCGTGTACATGTCTGAGCTACTATCTGAACTCACCGGAAACAGTATACAGGAGGAGAGGCCATGATGCATTGCTGTATGAGTGATAATTGCTCCCTGAATCAAGACGCTGTGCAGCTCGCGACTCTGATGAAGAACAGTTTCTTCTGAAGATTGGGCATAACGCCCACTGCAGTAGCAACTCAGCCACAATGCGATCTATTAGTGCTACCAATTGGAAGGTGGCCGTGTAGACTAGCCCTTGTGTTATATGGGCTCATTTGTACTACAACTTGAACTCACAAAAGCAATGTTCAGGGAGAGCTAATCCCCTCCCCATGATATAATCCTCTCGGTGAGCATCCCACATGGCCTTAGCTAGTTGGTCCCCTGCCAGTCCAGCAGCCGTGTAGTTTGCGAAGGCCCTCCTACTCAAGACCAATGTCTTCTGCAGCCCTTGCATTGTTCTCATTGCAGTTACCATCTTATCCATATTTCCAAAGAATGTGGTAACATAAGCATCGCTGTTGACTGAAACATAGTAGTCGAGAGCAGCTTTTGTGTTGCCATGCATCCTCTCAAAATCTTCATGAGTCAGGAGAGACGATTTAGTATACATATTTTTGTAGATCGAAGTGAAGCCCTCGAGTTCCATTAACCCATCCCCAGCAGCTAAATAAATGTTTGTCTCCGTAGGAATACCTAGTGCTTGGAGGATAAATGCTGTCTCACTTGGTGTTAGAGGGCACTTTCCACGGTTCCTCCACAGACGAGCAGCATCACCAATCAATACATTCCTGTCCTCCCCACGTGCAGCTTCAATCACATCCAGTGATTTGGAAGAAAGGGCACTGTATTCACATCGACTGTAGGCAACCATATCTGGTTCAAATCTAAGGTGAAGTGATAAGAAAGGTTTTGGTATCGCTTGGAGAAGCTCCATAGCTTTGGCTTCCACCTTCTTGTTCAACTGGAGTGCATTGTAGCAACCTTGGCAGTAACAAGCTTTCGCATGTGCTGGATATCTGATAAAATACAGGCATATACATCAGCATGGGGAAAAGGCAGACCCAAGGTGAATAATTACCACAGTAAAAAGTTTAAAATTGACAACACACCAAGAATTCAGCAATCAAATCAATGACACAATGAATAGAAAAGTTAGCAATGCAATTTTTAGGTTCATAAGATATTGCGAGTAACCATGAAAACATTGTTGCATTGCAAAGAGCTAACTATAGAGGTAACACCAACTAAGTTTATACTACTAGTTATCTCAATGGTTTTATTCTCCACAAATCTGCATCTTGCGGATTATACCTGTGAAAAGTATTCTTGGACTGATGACAATCATTAGAACAGAACCCAGCACAAATTTATCAGTAGGTCAACATATCACAAAGCAGACAACAAATCAAGATTAGGTAAGTTGATGAAGTGGTTGGAGTTAGTAAAGAAGTCATGTAACCAACAAATTTAGGGCACGTGAAAGTCTTGCATTGCATGAACTGACATCTTAGTTAAACAAAGTTATCACTCAAGAATATAGCGTATCGGTGTATTTATTCCAATTATGTGAGCTCAAGATGATTGCAAAGGGAAAGGGGGAAGGGCTATAAAGCTATGAAGATAACTTTTATATGAGAGTGTACAGTTTTGGATAGTAACGCAGCATGCCAAATTCGAAGGTTGATAGTCAGAATCGTGATTCTGAATCGGATCGGGGCCCTAATGGTAGGGTCGCATATCGCAGAATCTTCACTACGAAAATCACAGAAACATAGATTTTACCAAACAGAATCATAGAATCATGAGTTAGTTTGGATTGTCAAGTCGTAGAATCGTACAACAGAATCGCGATTCTGACTACTTTTAACATATTCACTCCCAATTTGCACTGAGAAAAAAAAGATAAATACAGGGAAATAATTTGCATGGTTACATCACACATCTAAACAAAGACAAATACGACAAATACATATGATTTTCTACACTGCTTGATGATACTATGTCTCATGTATGCCAACTTAAGAATGCAGTCAATGACACCACGAATCTGCTTCATACAAGGAACACCTACTACTGCAATATATATTTTTCGAAAGGATTACTGCAATCTATCTACTTTAAGTTACAGGTAGATATACGTGCCCTCGAAAGATATAAGAATTTTAGCACTGGAGAACTTCATCGCCAGCCTTAGTACTCCCTCCGATCCGAATTAATTGATGCAGCCTCTATACAATGACATTATGCTAAGATCGGAGGGAGTATTCTATATCCATCCTTCACATTATGCTAAGATCCTCAGCAGCAGATACAATTCAAGACCTTTGATGTGAACAATGAACAAAATAGCTTGGAAAATAATAAATGGACAGTATGACTAAGATAATTGGTATTATGAAAATGGAAAGTAGATTTCAGGTATCAACTAGATAACTCGGCAATACCTATCTTTTCTTTGGCTCATGGCAGGTGTCAGAGAAATGTATCGATGTTCTAAAAGAGCTGGAAGAACTGTTTCTACATAATCAAAATGTCCTTTCCGTTTTCGGCAATCGACCTTAAATGGCTCTTTCAACGATATCTCCTCGGGCATATCCTTCACCACTTCCACATAACCTCTAGTTTGCTCAATGAAGTGATCAACATCAAACACGTCTGCAAAACCACTGACAAAGCATTCTGATAAGCACATGATTAGTTTTTGAACAGAAGTGCACTACATAGAAACAACAGTAGAAGCCTTCGTTTCACCCCAAGTGACTCCAGTACCTAGACTCATTCCAGTATGCAGCAACCTCAAACTTGGGCAGAACCATTGTCGCGTTCAGAAGACGTGCAACCGCAATTCCATCGCACAGCTGCAGAACAATTGCGCCAGAGGCCAGAATAATTACAACCGAGGAACTTGTAACATAGCCAATCGACAACGCACACCACTGCACAACATTCTATACAATGCTACCTATTTCCTAAAGCTAAATCATATGATCCCACTATTGACTCCACGAGCCTATACTTGTCACTTGTGCATTCAGTACATGGCCAGATGATCCAAGTTTAACAGTACATACATAGAAAAGGAAGTCTTACTCCATTACAAGGAGGATAAACCAAGTTTAACATACATCGCGCCGCAGCTGGTTGAGGCCGCCGTAGCAATCTATCCTGATGTAGCCATTCCTCGTCGACGGAGCTGCTGAAGGAGAGCGGGGACAGAAACCAATCATCACCACAACCCAAGCCAATCCTAAACTCTGACCGAAAACCACGAAGCACACAAGGCCTCACCGGGCATTGCCGTCTGCCACCACTCGCACGGCCGCCACTCCGCCAAACGCCGCTGCGCCCATATGAGCCGCGACCCCGACGGCGAATGCTCCCTGCGGGAAAATCCCAATGCGGGGGATCTGTAATTTCCAGGAAGAGTCCAGAAGAACCTGGTATGGCAGGTCGGGGCGGGGCGCGTACCTGGAGGCCGGTAGGGCGAAGAAGGATGGGGAGGAGCGCGGGGAGGCGAGGAAGAAGAAGAGGGCGGCGGCGAGGAAGAGGGCCGGGAGAAGGAGGCGTATGTGGTGGTGGGCCCACCACCACGCCGCGGTCGACCACATGACCACCGCCGACGCCGCTACCTACGAGAAGCACTGGATCTGATCGCCGGCGGCGACGCGGCGTCACCGCGAGCACGGAAGTACGACCTGTCCGCCAGAATGCGGGTCCCACATGTAAATAAGGGACCACCTGTCATGGATGGTTATCCAGATCGAGAGGTGGCGTGTGGGAATGGAGCAGGGTGGTGGTCCAGCAGGAACAGCGTTAACTTCCTGAAAATGGAACGCGGGCCCGCTGCGTCAGCCCCACATGTCAGGGTCACGAAGTACACCATGAAGGTGGATGACGCGAAGGGCTTATCTGCAAAACGACACGCACATACCCTTTGTTTCGCCTGCGGCGAGATCTCCGACTGCCACAAAAGCGAAGGTCTCCTCCGCCCGAATCGAAGCCGTCGTCTCGAACTCCGTCCGGAGCCCACACCCACAACCTGTCACCCACCCCCACCCCCACCCACCCAGACGCGAAGCTGGCGCGGGAGGCGGCCGACGCGAGCGCCCGCAAGCGCAAGGCGGCGGACGGCGGCGACACCGGCGCCGCGGCTCCGGCCCCCGAGGACGCGGCCATGGGCGACGCGCCCCCGCCGGCCCCCGCGTCGCTCGTCGAGGGGGGAGGAAGCGATGGGGCGGGGCCTGACCCTAACTCGCACCGGTTGAGCCCGGAGACCGTGTCGGTGGAGCTCTCCATGGGCGGGGACTACTACCACGCCTGCTGCGGCGACCCCGACCCCGACCCCAAGCCCGAGGGACCCCAGGTGCCGTACATCGGTAACAAGGTGAGGCGTTTCGACTCCTCTCTCATTCCACAGTCGCTATAGGCTTGTCGTTTGTTCATGTGGTACAATTGGCCGGGATCATCACACCTAGTGTTGCTACCTCTGCTGCCCATTTTTGGCCGAGGCTTTTGTTGATTCGTTCCGATTGATCCAGCAGTATGTGAATGTTGGTTCTGGTTACTGTTGTACTGGAATTTAGTTTCGTTGGTCAATTGTCGTTTGAAATGGCTAAGGTTGGATACACGGGGAGCATTTCATGTTCTGTTATAGGATCAAGGGTTTATTATGGGCTGGCCGAGCCCTTTGTTTAATCTTCTGGTGTGCAGTACAGTAGATAACAGACTGAACGAGTTTGATCCAGCTTGTCAATGTAGGAATAGCCTATGAAAAGTTGGGGGCAACCCGGCACTGAAACTGGAGAACAAAATTTGTTTCTACTACTTTATTGTAGTGAAATTTATCTCAGAGTTTGAGCTAGTCTATGCCAGGGTTTCTCTAATATGTGCTGTTATGCTTGAAGTTTGATGTTCAAGAATGACATGACAGAAAGCCATATGAGATGTTGTGGAGCGACATCCACGCAGTTTTCATGTCAAATGAAATAACATACTGAGACTGATCTCTTATTCTCTTCATTTCGGTCAACTAGTTGCATATCTCAAGTGCATTTGGCGGCACTTGTGAACCCAAATGCTATTTAACGTACTGTTATGGTTATCTATATAGTTATGGTGTTGTTTGTATTAATCTGTAATTTTGTTCTGCCGCTTTTGTTTTGCCTTCCATATTAATTGCTGTTGTATCTTATCAATTTGTTTTCTGACTGGCACCTTCTGAATCTTGCAGGAACCTCTCTCCGCCTTAGCAGCAGAGTTCCAGTCTGGCAGCCCCATTTTACAGGAGAAAATAAAGGTGGTTGTTCGTTTGCTTGTTCTGATACATGATAACTGTATTATTTTTCTTCATCCAGTGTGCCATTTTATGGTGCTTCAGTTTGTTCCATAAGTTTTCTTGCTTAACCTGCAGTTGCTTGGTGAACAATATGATGCTTTAAGACGAACACGAGGAGATGGAAACTGCTTTTATCGAAGCTTTATGTTCTCCTACCTGGTAGTATTTGTGGTGTTGGTTTTCACTCAAAGTACGTCTATTCATAATTTGACAATTGTTTGGTTTGCTGCTAGGAACATATCCTTGAGACACAAGATAGAGCTGAGGTTGAGCGCATCCTAAAAAACATTGAACAGTGCAAGAAGACACTTTCAGGTCTTGGATACATTGAATTCACTTTTGAAGACTTCTTCTCTGTAAGTCTATGCAATGTTTGCTTTTTGCATCTCTCGTTAGTTGCCCCATTCCGTATCACTTTTTGCTCCACTCCATCTGATCTTCCTCACTTGAATAGCTTTTAGATCTGCCCCTTCTGTCGATGTGCACTTGTTTGCAATTCCTTCTACTTGTCTCTGGGGAATTTGCTAGATGACTCGTTGGTAATCAGGAACTTGCGGTTTTTTTTTCTGCAATGAAAAATAAAGTAAATGCCTGCCTGTAACTCCTGTGCACTGTTAACTGTCACAACTGATGATCTAAGTAAGCATACTGCACACCTTTTCGTCAATCCCTTGATGAATGCATTGGTTTGTTGCTCTTTATGAGTAAAGTCCTCTGAGATGTAATATACAGTATTCTTAGTTGTTAATAACTAAATATTATACACTGTCTTTCTGAATGCCATGCATTGTGCCCAGCCAGATGGTCTTTATTATGTTTTATGGTTTTGTTGGGAGCTCTGTTGGTATATGATATGCATTGGTTGAAAATGATGGGTAAGTAGAGATGCTCATATCGAAGAACTTGAGCCTTGCTGATTAATCTGTATATGAACAATAGAATTATTGTTTTGTTAAATACTCCCTGGACTCATAATTTGCCTCCTTAGTCCTTGCTGAATATTTTTCTCCATTGTTATCCTCAGATGTTCATTGAGGAGCTGCAAAATGTTCTGCAGGGACACGAAACTTCTATTGGGTAAATATTCTATACTTGTGTTTGTCTCCTTAAGGTATAATCTCATGTGAACAAAAGGAAATAAGTGTTGTTGGAAGAGGCATTTTTTAACTGTTCACATTGTATGGCATGGCCATTATCAGAGTTTTGCTTTTGTGGTGAATCTGTTTTGTTTTCTTGTATCCTTAGGCCTGAAGAACTTCTAGAAAGAACCAGGGATCAAACGACTTCTGATTATGGTTTGTACAATCAGATATTTATGATGTACGTATCTTTCTTGACTATGATAACACTATTTTCTTATTGTGTCTTCTTTAGTTGTCATGTTCTTTAGGTTTGTTACCTCTGGTGAAATTCAAAGGAGGGCTGAGTTCTTTGAACCATTTATTTCTGGCTTGACAAATTCGACCGTGGTTCAGGTTAGCTTCTTTGTTTTGTTCTTGTATGCAACACTGGGTCGTGGGAACATAGACATTGTACCAGTAGTCATGTATATACCCCTTGTCAACATGTAATGCACTGTCCTGTTTGTTGTGTAAGTCTATTTGATTGGGAGTTGTCGTTTTGCATTTCATGTGAATTATGGGAATCAAGAGTGTTCTTGCAATAGTTTCACTCCATACCCCAGCCTTAAATGCTGCTAAACAGGTTGACTGCTGTGATTATAGTATGCCATTTAGTATGGGTTTTTAACCATTCGTTAGGTATGGTGTTTGTGTCCGTAGGCAGTATTCCTACAGGAGTACAGGGCCAGTTTCCTTTAGAATTATTACACAAAGCCAACACTAGATATCATGTGAGTAGGACAGAATTAGCAGCTCTGTAAGCAGTGGATTATTCTTCGAGGGATAGGCCTCTGTGATGAGGAATTTTGGAGGATTTTATTCCTTATGAATATTTCATATGGAGCCTTTTGATTTGGAGGATTGGTAACCATAGGAATTTTCCATATCGACTATTTTGCATCTAGTTCCAAAAGAATTTTCCCTTTGTTTATAAGACAACTATGGCAAACACCTAACCTTTCGAGAAAGTTCATGTTCTTATCCTGTGGTGTAGCTGAACAAGTTCTACTTTGTGCCATCATTTGAATTCCTGTAGAATTTAACTTCCCATAATGTATTATCCTATGTTTTCCTATTCCTTGGTTTTAGCCATGTTAGGACAAGAGATGATGTATTCACCTGTGTTTGTGTGGTGCTATCCTACATGCTTTAATTAAGCTTCAGTTAAGTTGTCTGCTGTCCATAGATATGCAGTCGAGGGACTGACCCTGATTTGTAAATCGCATTGCAGTTTTGCAAGTCTTCTGTGGAGCCAATGGGCGAGGAAAGCGACCATGTGCACATTATTGCTCTGTCAGATGCGTTAGGGGTGCCAATCCGCGTGATGTACCTGGACCGAAGCTCCTGTGACACAGGCAATCTAAGTGTGAACCACCATGATTTCATTCCTGCAGCCAATTCCTCTGAAGGTGATGCTGCAATGGGATTAAATCCGGCTGAGGAGAAACCTTACATTACTCTGCTCTACCGGCCTGGTCACTATGATATTCTCTACCCAAAGTGATCTCTGGCTGATGAAACACCAAGGTTGATTTTTCCCATGAATTCAGGTTGAGAAAACGTTGTCTAGAACCGTGTAGTTGTGTTGCTCCTGCATGCTGCCAAAGGCGGCCTTACAAGAGGGAACTTGTGTGTTCTTGGGGCGTAATCAGAGCATGCTTTACTTGTCACTGCCCTCAAATTCGAAGTTTTCCTTATTGTAAGTGTACTCTAGCACAACGATTTAACATTGTGGTTGACTGTTGAGAAGACCCTCTGCATATCGTGACTAATCGTGGTTCTTGTTTTTCCCTGAATTATTTACTCCTCTGCATCATAATGCTTCATCTCAGCAATCAGTTTCTTTTGTTTTTAACTCTTTGAATTGGGACATGCTCCAGGTTGATGCCTGGGTGCTGTCCATTATCTCATTAGCATGTATACCTCCCTGTTTCTAAATATAAGACATTTTGGCAGTTTAAATTGAACTCCCAAAACGTCTTATATTTGGGATTTGAGGGTGTATATAGGAAGGCATGTCATCTTGCCCAAGTTTTCATGTTTGTTTCTACACGATGGGCATTTCTAGAATTGGTGATATCTCTTCCTGTACTACAGAATTACTAGCTTTCATGCCTTTCTTGCTCACGAATTATGTTCCTTGGGTTTTATGTTTCAGTCACTCCACTTTTATTCATGTTGCTTGCTTTTTATGTTTTCCATAGTTGTTTCTAGCTTTGCCTCTCGCCTAGACTCAAATGAGCAAGGTCAGGACAGCTGAATGATGGAACTGGAATGGTTGCTCGGGGCCGTGTCTTTTCCTTTTTATTATTAAATCTCATACTCCTCCTGATCCATATTACTTGTTGTTCAGATACATCCATTTGAGTGACAAATAATATGGATTGGAGGAGTATTAGTGTTTGCTTCCGGTATATATATAAGCTTTGTTGCATGTTTTGGCCCAAACTGTATGTGGTGATCGGCACTGTTTACTATCGTTTCTTCCTATTCTCTGTCTGTACCAGGTAGCATTTTCTGCTCAAACTCTCCGGGGTATCCTAGCTACACATAGACAGCCTGCTTATATAATGAAGAGAACAAAAAGCGAAAGTACTGTGGTGTTACTATATCATGGGGTTATACTACTCCTACACATAGATAACCTAGACATGAAAAGTGACACAAAGTTACGTGCGAGCCCAAAGCCCTGGCGGTGAAGAAGGAAAAGAACAGAGCGGGAGGTGACTGATTTTGCATTTCGTGGTGGCGACCCTTGATCTGTGAGCCAATAAATCAATCCAGGGCATGAAATGATGCGGCTGCAGGAGGAAAAGGTTGACAAGCCAGCAGCGTTGACTCCCTACAACTGCACCTGTACGTATGCAAGTGTGTTCTACAGGAGGCTGTGTACCTACTGAAAGCCATCGTGCTTTTGTGTTTGCCTTAACTTGCAGAGTCGTATGCGTCTGAGTAACATTGATTGCAAAGTTTAACAATCTTGCGGAGGCCATGACCGCGTTAGTAGTGACAGTGACACGAACGGGATGCCACTCGCTTTCTCAGTTCCTGCACACCACACCAGGGGATCAAAATAAACCATCCATCTCCTCCCTCGTTTGCTGGCTCCATCTTTTTTGTTCCCAACAAGCAGGGGGTTGTTGTCGGACTCGTGACAAATCTAGTCATATGTTTCGTTTAGAAACAAGAATGGCCCTTAACCTCATGGATGAGACCGTCTTTCATGCCAAAGGATCGGTCCTAATCCTCCCTCCGGAAAATACGATGTACGTACTCTCATAAATCCAAATGAATGTTGCAGCATATTAGGAATGGGTCGGGACTCGGTAGTACCAAGTGATATTGCTGTCATCTGGTACTAGTACGAGCAGCTGTCAGTTACTGGTAGCATCATCAAGCATATCCATCTGTCATGCACCGATGCACGGCGGGCCTAGGAATCTTTGAACGGGCCACACGGACCCACGCGGCGGCACCAAAAGAAAGCCGAAACGCATGGGGGAGCGTCGCCTGTCAATCTTTTTTTCCCTGTCAAATCGTCCGCAAATGTTTCGAACAGAAGAGATTCAGACAGTTTTGCTATCCAATGACGGTCAATAAATTTGTCTTAACTGGTCTGAACCTTCGAAATCTCGCGAACCGACATCAAACTAGGAAGGTTTGCGGACGTCCATCACGCCGGACTCCGATAACATGGACCCACCTAAAACTCCTCGCTCTTTCTCTGCTCTAGAACCCCCCGCCCTGCATTCATGCTGGTCAGAGCGGACGTGACTGAGCGACCACTTACCCACATTTTATGTCGGCTGATCGACATGGTATTCACCCCGGTGCAGTGACTGAGAAGTCTACTCCGGTCGTTGCCCGCATTGAAGCAGTGCCAATCCGCCTGCCCCGGCTATTTAAGTCGCCCGACCGCAGACGCAAGCCCTGCACCACCAAGTCGCCACCTGTCCTCTCCCAAACCCGCAAGGAAAGGTTTGCGGACGTCCGTCACGTTGGACTCTGACAACATCGACCCACCTAAAACTCCCAGAGTGGACGTGACTGGGTGACCGCTTACCCATATTCATGTCGGCTAATTGACACGGCATTCACCCCGACGCGGCGACTGAGAAGCCTACTTCAGTTGCTGCCCGCATTGAAGCAACGCCAATCCGCCTGCCTCGGCTATTTAAGTCGCCCGACCGCGGAAGCAAGCCTTACACCACCAAGCCACCACATGTTCTCTCCCAAACCCGCAAATCTCCACCACTGGCAGCGACGATGGGCAAGTCCAACGCTTCCAAGTGGTTCTCGGTGTGCTCCTCCAGATCCGGGGGAGCTCCAGATCCTGGCGTCGTTGCCCAAGGTCATCGGGGCCCTCATGTCCACAACTCCCTTGAGCATCAAGACTGAGCTGATCTTCTCAATGAAGAAGGAGAGCATTAATTATCTTTGTCCACTTCGATCCCTCTAGGCCTCATCACCGTGCTCCATATCGAGATAGGTGAGTAAAAAGTAGTGTTGTGTGCAAAAATGGAATTTGTGTGATATGACCGAACTTTGCGATATATCTGATTGAATTGTGGTTTATATGGCTGAATTGGGCGATATGATCGAATTGTGCGATATGATGTAATTTTGCGTGGCATGGGTTGTCTATGGGTATTTGCCGAATTGTGTGTGACATGAGTTGTCTATGTTTTACTGAAATGTTGATTTATTTCCGTTTCGGCGGATTTCGGACAAACTTGATATGTCCTATTTTTAGGGAAGGTCATGCCAAATTTTGTATCAATTTGATACATGCATGCATGCATGCATGGTCATAATTCTTTTGCTTATACCGCGCAGGCGATCATGAAGGTTAGTGGAAGGATGGTGGATATACACTTGCGATCTGCGATGGATGAAATGTATGAAATAACCTGAAGGCGATTTTATGTCTGTGTAAAAAATGCAGAGAAGGAGTATGGCTCGACCCCTTTAAGGGTGGCCGTTTAAAGGTGCACATGCATTCATGGTTTCATGGACGGCTATATTTGGTGGATAAATGAAGATGATGATGAGGACATCAACGGGGCATCCGATAACGACATGGGGCTAGACGAAGAGATGACTGATGGACCCTAAGAAGAGGGCGCCAGACATGGCAGGGGAGAAGAGGCCGCACATGGTGGAGAAGACACAGACACGTTGCAGTATTCATCACTATTAAGTTCAGTTGTGCGGGACCCTCATGTTCAATACCCGCTTCGCAAGAAGACGACTAGCGATAGAGCTGCTTCTAGAGAGGAGGCCAAGCTGGTGCAACTGAAGGTAGACTCGAAGACTCCATCATATGCTATTAGACAACGGACCATGCACATGCTAACCTCGATTGTAAACCTCAGTGCTTTCCATTGTTTCCCTGCAACACATATAAGGTAGTTAGTCATCAGGTTAAGTAAGGGTTCACATGCTATCAGTGAAATATGTTAATGAAAAATAAGCACATTGCAAATTCATCAGATTAATTTAAGCCACATGGAAAACCATTTATCCAAACCAAGCATGATTAAGAACTAGGAAATATAGCACTTGTATATGTTTCTCATGTATTAAGTGCAGCCAAATTCGATTTATTCCTCACATGCACAACAATACAAAATTCTACCCACAATAATTGGACATCGCATTGCAGAATTGAACCAAGCAGTTAATTGAACACCACAACAAATGAACCAAATATTAAATGAGCACCACATTGCACAATATAGCATACTCCTAATAGAAGATCAGATAGTTAACCAAACCAAGCATGCTTAACAACTTGGAAATATAGCAATTGTATTTGTTTCTCATGTATTTACTACAGCCAAATTCAATTTATTCCTCATCTGGTATACAATAACAGAATGCACCCACAACTATTGAACATCGCATTGCAGAATTGAACCAAACAGTTAACTAAACACCACAATACAAATGAACCAAACATTAACTGAGCACCACATTGCACAATGTATAACCAAACCAAGCATGCTTGACAACTTGGAAATATAGCAATTGTATTCGTTTATCATGTATTTTGTAAAGATAATTTCGATTTATTTCTCACGTGGAAGACAATACAAAATTGCAGCCTGAAGAATTGCACATCACATTTACAGAATTGAACCAAACAGTTAACTGAAGACGTCAACTAATTAACAAAATAGTTAATAAGTGACCACCACACTGCACGACATATAGAACATATACACTAGAGCAACAGATTGCATGGTAAAATTAGATAGCACAATTCACTAGAATTTGTGAAGGAAAGGTAGGCGCAACACACGCAATGGGTAAACCGAGCATGCTTAACCGGCGTAGCTAGCAAATGGCAAGGTGCTCCTCCAAGATCTGAGGGTCGGCACGAATGACAGCCATCACAACCTCATCCGCACGTGCGGCCGTGATTTGCTTCTCCGCTGCCAAATGCTCCTTGAGATCCTGGCTATACTGCATGCACCATGGCTTAGGGCGGCGCTTATTTGG